TTTTAATTATTCTGGTATTGTTAGCAAAGTTAGTCATGGTTACAGATTATGCCAAATCAGCTAACACTGTAGAAGCAGCAAATAAAATTCAAAATAAGGGAAGTCATAAGGGAACTTCACTCTGGTTTTTCTGAGTGCAGAGAGGGTATTAAGGAAAAGGGTACATGGGTCCAATGTATTATTTTATGTAGTGTGGTGCCTCCGGGGGAATAGGTTTATGTAATAGGTACGAAAGTACTCACACCACACACTCTTCTTTTATTTACAAGACATTTTCTCCTTTTCTTTCATTTGTCCATCTTCCAAGCCAGTCCGCAATCCGTTTTCTCTATCCTTATTCAGTCCATGTTCCAAAAGTCCGTAAAATCCCACAAATCCGCGCCGTGTCCAAATCACAAACCGTATGCCGTTATCCTTTATTTATTTCTTAAATCCATTGTCCTTAAATCTATATCCACACCAACCAACCAACCAAACTCCATTATCTCCTCCAAACCGCATTCACCTACTGGCTTCCGCCGGTTCACCGTTTCCGGGGCATATATATTTTGTTTCCTGATGAGACCCAACTGCATCTCTTTGTCTTTCAGACTGAGCCCTTTCCATCTGCGGGTCAGCTGGTTTCTCTTAGCGGCCATCTTGGTCAGGTCTAAGTCAAGTATAGTGAGCAGATCATTCCTAAAATACCTGTCCTGGATGACCCTTCCTCTGGTCCTCTTACAGTAGTTAAATACTAGGATAAATTCAACAGCATATAAAAGAAAGATGCCTTGGATTGCAGTCAAGGCTCCAGCAACTAAATCTTTGGAAAACCAAGGTATTATCAAAACAGTAGAAATCTAGTTATCCTGAGCAGTCAAGATCCATAGACGTATATTATAAAACACTCTCAGATGAAGAGCAACAAATGTTGCTCATGAAGTGTATGAGGTTTACCTTTATAGTATTTCGTACACATAAATGTAGCCTATCATAAAAATGAACTACCAAGGGTGTTTTGATATTAAAAGTATATTAAATAACTAGTTAAAGCTATTTGTCACTCCAACAGCAGGCGGAGCGACGCGCCGGTTGGAGTATTCTCAGTCGCATTTAATGGCAACGTCAGCTCAAAGATTTGGTTCAAACCACCAAATGGAGACGGGCGTGCCGACAAGCGGACCCTGCTGATGCGGGATTAACACTAGGATGAGAGAGTTAAAGCTATTTGTGTTTTATTGTTTGGTTATCTCAACTGAGCATACAACTGGGGAAAATTCCAAGATGGTACCATAGTACTGTAGCTTTAGCTGAGTACACAGGTCCATACTAAATCGGCAAGTCTGTTGTACTGTAAGTGACCCCACATTACAAAAAACAAGTGTTTGACTTTGAAATCAGTCAAAAGAAGAGAAACTTGATACTGTATATTATAGGACTTAAGGGAATGCCCTACACTGACAGCCTAGAATAACTGAACCCTATAACTGTTAAACAGAGAATATTACAAGGGGCCCTTATACAAGTATTTACAAAAGACAGCAACAAATTCAGTGCAGTGGATTTCTTCAAAATGAACTGTGAAACACGAATCAAAGAACACAAGTGGAAACTACAGTGGAAGTGCAAGTTCACCCTTGATCTTTCCATCAAAAAGATAACTACAAAATGGGCCAGGTGGGCCAATTGGTCTCCTTTCATTGTAACTTTCCTAATGTTCCTAATTAATAAAAAAAAGGTGAAAGTAGGCACCATAATAATGTGCTACTAATGTAAATTACACTTACTGTAAAATCACCACAAGTGCTGCTTTAAGCCCTAATAGTACTGTAGTTTGCAACCAGACTTTGGCATAGAGATGAAAAACGTAAGATTTAAAGAGCGGGACTTTAGTGTGCAAGGTTATTCTTGGATTACCATACAGCAGTAACTCTTAATAGCACCATTACCACTTTGTTGACTTACCTTGTCAGATCTCAAATACCAGGCAATGCAAGTTGTGGTGGTGTAACATGTCACACTCTTCTTCTGGACTATTGACCCAAAATGGTGACCATGGACACTGTACTATGAAAGTTGTTGCCATAAGATGTTAAAAAGTGATCCTGACTGCTTGATTATTAAAACTTTCATGGCACTGTTTGGTCTTCCTAAAATTCCCATTTGATTGAACTTGTGAAGCAATATCTCACTTCTCCATCTTATCTGCTGTATTGTGAGCATGATGATGGCCACCCTCCACTCAGGTGGGTGATGCATTTCAATGGTTAACAAATTGGATCTCTCTTATAAAGTGCTTTGTAATCATTTGGGAGGAAATGGGTTATACAGTATATATATAGTACTGTATATTCAATGAATTATAATTAATTCTTCCTACTTACTGAGTGCCAGGGATTTAGCAATTGCTCTAAATTTCCAGCAAATTGATGAATTTGAAAAATATGAATTTTGGATGAAGATGTGCATAATACATTAAATAAGGCAATAAATTGATAAACTATTCCAAAATGGAAACTGCACAACACGATAATAACAAGACTTCTATTGTGCAGTTCACGTTGCATTTTTCTTATAAAAAAAATCGTTCCATTCTAACATCATTGTTACCAGTTTCAGAATCAAGTACAATTTGCAAAAAGTTGGTTTCTCTGCAAGATCCCAAGCAGTGGTCAGAGTGCAAGGGACCATTTGTACTAGCTGTTATACCCCACTAATCAGTATAGCTAACAAAAATGTTGCTACTTCACAAAGAAATGTTTGTATTGGTGCTTTTATCCAAGTTACCACTGTAATTGTAATTCTCCCTTCCAGACCTGTAATATGTTAAAATGGGAATAGGAGGTTTTGCCTACAGATTGTACTTTCTTCACAGTGACAAACTCCTGCTGTTAAATGAAGTGTCGTAGGAGCAGATGTTCTTATTGAATGCTGGCATTCTATACTCCTGAAGTGAGTTTTATTACAGTAGGTTACAGGTCACAGCCCATATTATATTTTAAAAATACAGTATACTGTATATTGTTGTATGCTATTGGCAAACACTATAATCCCATTTCATTTTGGAAGGTGGCTATCATCAATTGTCATCACTTTAGCTAGGATGCAGGTAAACTAAAATGTATATTTGAGCTGCCAAAAGCTTTTAGTAAAAAATAGCATAGCACAAAGTTTGTAATATACCCTACCTCTTCTGATAGTACTCTGAAAATATAATATAGCAACTTCAGACAAATCAGCATCTTTTGCTTTCTTACATCTGCAGGTAAGAAATACATTTTGTTAAAGCATCACACTAAAACACTCCTAAAATAATCATTGAAGTCAAAGTAGGTGATTACCCTTCTTGGAAGTGTAATTGATTTTTTCTTCTTTTCAGTAT